TTTAAACTATACCGTTTACCCTTTTTTCCACAAACTTTTTTGTCCAATGCATCACATAAACCCCCCCCCCCCCCCCCCCTTAAATTTCGATGAAATTTAATGAAGGGTCATAATGTGACACAATGAAGCCGGGTAGCAAAAAAATAGTTTTCAAGAAAAAAGTATTTTGTACATAGGCCACTTTTTTCAGGGCATCAAAGCAGAGGGGTGGGCTACCCTTAATCAGAATTGAGAATCATATGACAGTGTGAAGACATATCTCGATCGAGCTATCATTTTAATTTTAGAAAATATTTAATTTTCCATATCTCAATTGAAATATAAGAGTTATTTTCTTACTGTATGACGAAGAATGCATTATTATAGTTAAAATAGAGATTTATTCTTGAACTTACTTATGTTTAGTTGAACACATATCTTGTTTTGATGTCAGATATTCGCTTGTGCTTATTAATGGTATATTGTGATATTGACAATAACTGTGCAATATATCAATATCTTGTGCATAACTGATGTATGCAGTTGTTTGTGGATCAAGCTGTTCAATAAAATCGTACATATCGTTATATAAAATATATTTTATTTCTAATTGAATCCATTGTTGATTAGAATGACAATAGGTTAGATTTTGAATTGTTATATTAATTGTTGCAAATGGTTCTAAACTATCATCTAACATCTTTGGTGATAATAGTCGTGTTTTTGTATTGTTTCCTTTTTTTATACTCTTGAGAGAATTATTGTTATAGTCAATAGAAGTAAACAAATTATCAATTGGTAATAAATCCATTGATGGTACAGACGAAACAAATGATAGTAATTTTGAATATGTATCCGAATGATCTATTGATGGTAAGACGATGCCTATTAGAAGTGTTTGTTGGCAATAAAAAATGTCGTTTATGTTTAAGAGAAAACACAAGACGTAGAATAAATGAACAACATAGTTGCACATTCGATCAATCTATTTAAATACAATTATTTCTTAAAATTAATATATTGAACAAATTTAAATAGACATCCATGACACATCTGTTGTTCCAAACCTAAACAGAATAAAGATTAACTTTTTAATCTGTTATATTTATTTATATTTAACCTTTTTTGAAAGTACCGAACGATAAATTTGTCATTTCTCATGCATTAACTGTTTATAAGCAAAAAATAAAATATTGAGATCATTGATAAAATCAATGTACGAAGTTCTTAACCTACCTTGTAATATTTGTCACTTTTACATTAGATTTAATTTGTCATTCACAGTTTATTTAATCTTAGTAAAATTAGAATCTTTCATTTTAATTTTTTGAAAAAAGATGAATGAAAAACATTAGTTTTTCTGTTTTTAAATGATCAAAAGATTATTTATCTAACATAAATCTCTTATCTAGCTTATGTTTCTTACTTCCTTATTTTTGGTCTACATCTCTCTATTCTAATATAGTTAGAGAGTAATACAAAGATCTAAATATGAGCAATTCATTTTTTTCCTTCTTTTTCTTTTTTTTTTTTGTTAACTTAAAAAGACAATCATTTCACATTCGTGACCAATATAAATAAGATAGAGATAGAGCCAAGGACATGAAATATTTCGCTTAAAATAATTATACCAGAAATATAAATAGAGCGAAATTAAAGAATAAAAAGAAAAAGAAAATACGACAATATTTCAATATAAATAGATTTTTGGAAGAGAGAAGAAAACTTCAAATCCCTCTAGGCAGTCTAAAAGGAAAATAATCAATAGGAGTGAAGATTTTTATATATAAGTGTATGTCTTATGTTATTTGAGTGATATATTTCCAAATTTTTTGGTATATGAAAAGAAAAATAATGTTTTTTTTTTTTCCCATTTTCTAGTAAATGTATTCCATTTCCAACAGACTGACAATATTTAACAAACGATGAATACAATTTCTATCTTTATATATAATGTACTGTAAACAGAAGATGTTATTTCTATCACGGCTGATAGATGAATTCCATTTCACTTTTAATAATCTACCAAGTAGAAATATCGTGTAAAATGGGATTAAGGTGATTCAACAATAAACTGTCTGTAAAAATGTATTGAAAAAATTTTTATTTTTTTATTTTTGTATGTGACAAACAAACGGCATGCTGATTATTGAGTGGAAAACTGTTAACAGTTATAAATAAATCACAATCGAAACAAACCGTCTTAACACAAAAACACACTGACCATTTATCTTATTTATTAAAATATGAGGTAATTGATATATGAAGTAACTACTATTAGGCAATATTCATTGAGTTATATTTTGTTTTTTGCTATGTAGTTAAAAAATAAAATAGTAAAATAATGACTAGTTACAAAAGAACTAAATATATTTTTTTTCTCAACTGTATTTAGTGTACTTTAGGTTGAAAAGAGGGCATTTTTCGCAATTTTTTTATTGTATTTTTGTTTAGTTTTCCGCTATTTTTAATCGTAAAACTTGCTATTGAATCATGATGATAGATTGTACATTTTCCCTACATGCTAATGCAAAAGTATTATGAAAATATCCGGTAGTTCTTGAATGAGATCTAAAATTTGGAGAACTCCATTCGTGTATCTCTTTTTACCCCAAAGTATTCATGACAATTACAATCATATGATTATATTTTCTATTGTATTTAATCTAGAGACGAATTGGTTTTTGATCATGATCATTCACGTTTAACATCACGAACAAGTACTCGAAGTCAAAAATATTTTGACTTTTTAGATCCGTATCATAGTGTATTTTCTCGACAAAGCTATTATTCGGAAAAAGAGAGTGTTCATCCATGGACACGCTTTCCTTCTTCTAGATACAGCGGTATTTCTTATACAACTTTGCGTGCATCACCAAGTGAGAGAGTCAAAGAACTTGCTAAACCAAAAATTAAACGAGAACAAAGAATTAGACAAGGTAAACATATAAATTATTTCTTTATCTCATTTTCAATTTAGTCTCTGTTTTTTCTTGTAGAATTTTTTGATAATTTTTTTAATTATGGTTACAGTGGAGTAAAAAAATCGGCATTGAAAGCAACATGTTCAGATCGTACAGCCAGACTGGCTTGTCCTAAATCAATTTCATTAGAATATGTAAATATGTTACCCCCATCTGTAACACAAACTACTTCAAAAGAGAAAACAATACATCGTAGTCAAGAATTGGTTCGTCCAAAATACAATATGGGAAAACATTAAATAAAAATAATTTTTTAAATTTCGATTTTCTCAAATTTTATTAAAAAATGATGTATACCAATGAAACTTATATTACGATACAACGTTGAGAACATTACAGCAATTCATATTAGGTCATTGTTTTATTTAATTTCATTCTTAAATTGACGATAACTGTGTAAGAATGACTATGAATGTTATTTTAATAAAAGTTTACTTTACAATTAATTTATCTTATAAACGTCTGACTAGTTAAAAGGAGTTTTTTCACTTTCATTAAATAGATTGAGGTGACCTCTTGCATTCAATAGTGCAGATCGAATGCTGATACAAATTGAAATGATGGGGAGGATGGATGTTGTGCGAATTTTCGAACTGATTATCGTTCTTATTGAGACCACTATTTGTAGAATATGCTTCACTATCACTTTTTAAGGGAATTTTCAAATTCATAAAGAGTGATTCTGTGAAGTCCGTATCAATTTATATACGATTTTCTACACACAAACTGAAACTCTTTTTATACAAAAAATCCACGTATAAGATCAACAAATATTGTAGAAAAATCGTTCAGAAATGTTGATACCATTCTTAGTTACTCATAGACACTTTCAATTTTTCTCATGTTAAGGGAGTCCAGAAGCAATCAACAGTCTAGAGAAAAAGTAACAATAAGAAAATGGGACTATATGAAATATAATAAAAAAGTCTTAATTGCTTGATACATTCTACAGACATTTTCGAAAATCTGATGATAAATTTTGAAAGTCATTGACCAAAACAAACTTTTCGAGCAAAGCAGGTTAAAAATCGATTTTTCAAAAATGTCTGTAGAATGTATGAAACGATTAAGACTTTTTTTTGAACGTATCACTGTGAATGCTCTATTTTTTATTATATTTCATATAGTCACATTTTCTCATTATTACTTCTTCTCTAGACTGTTGATTGTTTCCGCACTCTAAAAAAAAAGGGTCGTGTACAAAACTCAGAGGGTTTAGGAAATGTTACTAAACCCGTAGGAGTATTTGAGTCGTACTAAAAAGTTGTGGTTATTTTTAAATCATAAATTTTTATTCAAAAATACAACAAATCGGGGTATCACCCCCTTACATGTTGTCAAAAAGTGAAGTAAAAATAAAAGTGTACTAAACAATAATCAAAAAAGTATATTACACAACAACAACAATAATAAAAAAGAGAAATAATGTAGAACAATGAAGTTTATCAAGGAGGACAGAACAGAGAGAAAGAATGTTTCAATATGTTTAATTTTAGATTACATATAAGCAATAGTGAGAGAGATTAATAAAAAGAAGAAAGTGCTTTGCATCGTTAGCCAAACGGTATCTAAATATCTGCTAGTTAAATATAAGCTATCAACTACAGTGTTAGTCAAATCGTGTTGTTTCATCAATGAAATTTAAGACACTTTCAAATAATTCCTGTATTTTATTGATTTCAAGATGTAAAACTGAATCATATCTCAAGAAAATGTGTTACAACTTAAGAGAGTTTGTATCGAGCATCTCCTGAAAAGTGTCATACTCTTGCGCAGAGGTGTAACCGGTACCGGTATACCGGCATCAGTTCATCTGTGACATATTTCTTGTACTAAAATTTCATTCCAATTACTTAAACTTTGTCGGCTTATATAAACTTCTTAATTTAAAAAATTGAATTGAATTGCTGTTTTGGTTGGAAAAAAGCGTGTGAAAAATCGGTGACACATAATCAAAGTGAAAAGATAAATCTACCTCTTTGATAACATAAGTAGGCAAAACATGATCAAGACAAACCGGTACCGACCGATAAACCGGCGCCGGTCCAGTACCGGTACGAAGCTTGTATACCGGTGACCGGTACCAGTATCCAGTTTTTGATACCGATTACACCCCTGCTCTTGCACTCCTTCAAATATTTAGTACAATCTAGAAATGATTTGGAGTTTCTTTTGGACCAACGGATGCACAATAAGGAGATGGCTCTAAATTACGCTTGTAGAGATCATCATTTAGTTGACTAAATCCGACTCTGAGCCTTATAAAATGGATAAAAGGTTTTGTACATTGTCAACTCAAAGCTACAAAAATAGGAAGAAATTCATTTAAGGCTCTTCTTATAAATTCTATAACTTTGCAAAGAAAGGTCGTGTAGAGCTGGGAGATGTTTCATTTTAATCAGAAATTTGCGCGCTACAATTCTGTATTGTTAAGAAAGGTTTGGGTTATTTTTTAGGGTTTCTGAAAAACTGGTTTTCCAGAAGACGGGATTCGAAGGGCTATAGGGAAGCCCCATGGTCATATTCGAAATCAGCATGATCGATAACCTATAACTCACTAGATGTCGATCAAAAAGCGATTTATCACCTCGGGAGGTTCCCTCGTTAGAGTTCGTGCAAAAAATTTCATGTGAATCGGAGACAAGAGGCAGCACATAATAATACAAATTTCCATCGTATTTTGACACAAAATTACATTGACATTCCAGATACCGTTCGTTTAATAGTAGCACATGGGTCTAATTTAAAATGAGGTATTCGTTCTAACATATGCATGAGTGTACTTTAACTAATTAACAGCAAATAGACAAAGTTCATATATAGCACTGAGAATTGTACTTGTCAACATTTTGGACATATCTAGAAGTACAAATAAAAGAAGAAAACAATGTATTTTCAACTATAGTTAACGAAAACTAAAAATCTGAATTATTGTTTGGTCTCACTTTGTCTCGTTTTTTCTCGTCAGATACACACATTTTGTTGATTTTTTTATATATCACACTTCATAATGCAACTGGATTAAACATTCACTAATCTACTTTACTACTAGTAAAGTAAAAACTGTAATCAAGTTATTATCCATGCGATAAGAAGAAAAAACTAAATTAAATTCAAAATTCCTTATTATTATAGCGTATACTGTTATTCTTTTATATATTCATTATTTGACAGATTTTGCGTTCTGGAATAGATTCACAAGAAATCAAACAGTTATAACAATTTTTTTTGCTATAATTGCAGTTTGTTATCCTTCTGTTATTTGTCAAGGCAAAGCGAGGATTATTTTAGCTATTTATTTCGCTCTTATCGTTATGTGTGCATCGCAGTGACTCTAATAGATCTAAATCAACAATTCATTACTTCTTCTAAATTCGTTTTAATCAACAAATGATCCATCTTATTTTTTCTCTTAGTTTTAAGTAAAAAAGGAAAGTAACCATTCACTGACTTACACACGAAACAATAATCATGTTATTTCATAGTTCCTTACCGCTTGATACCAATCATTTAAATATGTTCCAGAATCTAATAAATAATAAATAAATAATGTAATTTTCAGTGGTTTTTGGTAAAGAAAAATCAGTCTTAGTCTTGTGACTAACATAATAGACCAGTCCTATATATCTGTAGAACGTCTTGGGTCGCAGGTTAAAGTTTCTAAATTCAAACTAGATATAAAGAAAATTTCTTTTAAGTTCACTTTTTGCTGGTTTATAATAATTCCAAATCTTTTGTGAGAAAGATGTTCAGAAAATTTTTTCAAAAACCATCACTGGTCCATCACAAAATGCGTCGATTATACTGAGGTGCTCTTTATTTATTGTGCTCTTTTATTGTGCTCTTTTCGTAAACGTTATATTTTATTTGTTCCTTAAATTCTATAGAATGCGCGTTGTAATTTAAGTTTTATTTTGCTGTATTTTGCAGTATTGCAGATTGAAGTAAAATATTAATACATACCACTCTTCTTAACTAGAATTCTGTTCTATAAACATTTACAACATACGCGTACTTAGTAATTTGTATAGAAATCTCAAATTTTTAAACAATTTGGTTAGATTATAAATGAGTTGTAAATTTTTTTTGCGCGTACACAGTCTGATATTGCCTGTTTTCTTTGAGGCTTGTTGTTGAGAAACAAATATTGCCACTCAGTACAAGATATTCGATACTCTGTTTTTATTTTCATCCAAGGGTCTCAGACTTTGATAATTCCAGTACTCTTCATGTTTAAAAAACTAATGTAACGCTTAAACAATGATGGGTGGCGGATTCTGGATTATGTGATAGTTGCATAGTGCACATTCGAAACTGTCAATCCAATTCGGGCGTCATATATGTAGATTAGTATCGGAGTTCAGTATTGCAGATTGATCCTGTTTTTGTATATCACTTAGAGAAAAGATCTGATCTTTACCTTTAAAAGAAATATAAATCAAACTCTTAGCCACAAAATGGAGAAAATCACAACTGACAAACCTAATCTAACAAAACTTCTTTAAATAAAATATATTGTGGTTGTAGATAACACTTCAGTATCATTAATGAAAATAGCAAAACCAATGTATGATACTTTCTCAAGATACGCTTTTATTAAAATTTCTTTTATTGTCGACATAAATCTATATTGATAGGGTGCTGATAATTCGAAAATTCAGCAGGTTTTTATTTTTGCAATTTTTATCGATAGTTAGATAGAGTGCGTCGAGTCGATTCAGAAAATATGTGTTTTAATGTTTGAAAAAATTATTTTCATATAGAAAAATTGAAAATACTTGAAGAATCTAAATTTTCGAAAAACGATACGATACGAAAAAAAGTGTATTATTCGACTCAGTTTTTGACGCTGATTCTGAATATGATATTTTTATTGGATAAAACTTGAGTTCTGATGGAGAAAATTGAGAATTACAGGCAAAAGTCCGATTTTTTCGCTTCTGGTCTAGGAAAAATGAATTTTCTCAGTGACGATGCAAAACAAAAAAAGCGATCCGTACTTTTAAAGCTCGTTCAATGACGGTTCTAATGAAGTAAATAAACTTCACTTCAAAAAAAACTAGGTAGATTTACAACATTGTTTTGAGCTTTTTACAGGATGAGTCCAAGACGTTCATACTGATTGGATAGAACTCTGACTTCAGCCTCGATCACACATCAGATTCACACTCAGTTTTTAATGCTGAATCTGAAAAAAATACTTTCAAAATGTTTGAAGGACAAAAAAGAAAACAATTTGAATGCTTTTGAAACCGAGACGTTGTGTGAAAATTTAGACCCTTCAAGTATTTTCAATTTTTCCATATGAAAATTATTCATTTTTTTAGCGGTTTGGCTCAATCGGCTAGTGGGCAGATAACGTACTTCAGAGATACGAAGTTCGAATCCTGGCAACCGCGGTCGCGTGATAGTCTTGGACAAACTATCTAATGCTCCTTGTCTCGGTAACTTTGGGCACGGATGCAATGGGGTAACCTGATTTCAGTGGTCATTGGACTGGAGAGATGAGAATTTAAAGTTTAAAAGAAAAACCAATAAATAATTTTTTCAAACATTAAAACACATATTTTCTGAATTGACTCGACGTGCTCTATCCAACTGTAGATAAGAAATGCAAAAATAAAAATCTCCTGAATTTTCGAATTTCCGGCATCTTACTAACATTCAATGAAAAAAATCAAAGCTTATCTTGACCTGTCTTGTTTAAAGACAAAGAATATTGTAACACAGAGCTTGATGAATAAAAATCTTTCGAATATTCAATGAAACTAGTCGGAGAAAACCAAATTATAATCGAAAATAGACTCAATAGAAGTATAACACCTGTATATTGCACACAGATTCGATCACTTTACCAGAAACGTCTTTAAAGGGATATTGATAACAGAATTTGTACTAGTTAAGCCATAAACAACTATCTGTTTAGTCAAATGAGCGGGAGCTTTCGATTTATAATCTAACTGACAAAATTGATAGTGTTGTTGTTGTTGTTGATCATAACACCCACTGATTATCTTTGTACTCCCAAGTTGCCACAATGCACCATTATTTAACTTTATTAAAACAAACAACCGTAGAACTTAAAGTGTCAGCGGGCTTTCATTGTCGAACGCAAAGTTTGTGTGTAACCAAATTTCATCTGTGCTGAATGAGAACAAACGACTATACAAAAACATTATTTTAATTAACTTTCTCCACTTTTTTTTCAAACAAAATTAAATTTATTTTACTATCGATCTTCTCTTATTTTTACAACTTTTTCACCGAAAAAAAGCCATTCATTGGTCCATACAAAAAACAGACTTACCAAAAAAAAAAAAATACATTTAAATTAACACGCTCACACAAATTTGCCAATATGGCAACAGATATCTGACATCGGAACAAAAATTATTAACATAGTTTATATTCGTACTACGACTTCGTTTTATACGATAATCGTTGTACAGGTTTTACATTTCGTTTTGGTCTTGTTAACAATGATGAAGAAGACACAACTTCTGTTGTATCTACTTGTTGTCCATGTTTTGATTTAGCTGACTTTTTTGATTTTTTAACTACAGTATTAATCTCAACTTGACTATTGTACATTGACTGTTGTTCAGTATCAATAGTTTCTGTTACACTTTTATTTTTTACTTTAGTTATTGTTATTTGTTGTTGTGATGATGACCATTCAGTTTCATCGACAATATAATTCTCATTTCCACTACTACAACGTTTCTGTGATTTTATCGACGAAGAATTGCTTATATTTGACAATCTTTTGGGCATTTTTAATTCAACAGCAAAGGCTGCCTACAAATAGGAAAAAAAAAGTGAAATATAACATGATTTAAGTAAATTTTTCAGACTCACAGCTTGTGCCCATCCCGCTTTGGGTGTCCAAAGTTGCTCAAAATATGATGATATCTCACGATAATTAGCTTTTGATAAGTTTTTTACATCAGCTTTATTTCCTTGTCCATAAAACTGTACAGCAATATTTTTCATATCTAAAAAAGATATATTGAGAATTTGATTGAGAAACGTTAAAAAATGACTATACTCACGTGTATCAACTGGTACAACATCTGATTTATTCAATGACATTAATAAAACACAATCGGCAACTTTAATACCCACGCCGGTAATTCGTAGCAATTCATTTCTGGCTTCTTGTACCGATAATGTTTCCAAATATTGAAAATGTTTCATTCCACCACATTCATTTTTAATAAATTTCACAGCTTCATAAATATATCGTGCTCTATATCCAAAACCGATGTCTCGTAATTTTTTTTCCAAATATTCATTGTTTAATGCATCTAAATCAAAAGGAAACAAATTTTTTTTCTACTTAATCAGTTTTTGACGACATATCTCAAATAGCGCCGATCAAAGGACGAAACTAATTTTTTATTTTCAAATAGTAAATAAAATCACAAATTTATTACCTAATAATGGAAATTGATAATAAGTTTTATCATTTAATGTCCCTATTTTTTTCCCATATAATTCACAAATAGAATCAATCATTTTTGTAATTCTTTGAACATTGTTATTACTTGAACAAATAAAACATAATAAATTTTCAAATGGATCTTGTTTCAATACTCGTATTCCATTAGGTATTGTTGTTAAAAATCGTTCATCACATTTCTGCCATTGTTCAATCAATTCACTCAGATTAATGCTAAGTTGAAAATATTCATATAAAATAGATGCGCATTCTGCTCGATGTTCATATTCATTTGTTTTATTATTTTGATTTTTTTCTAGTTGTGTGACATAAAATATAAAACGTAAATTTTCATTCACATGATTTAGAACAACGATAAAATGATTTAATACGCCAACAAATTCATTCTCTGCTTGTTCAAACCAACTAATTATTACAACACAAAAACAAAAATACGATTATATTCAAAAAATAAAATATATATGCTTTTAATCATGATATTACCGAAAAGATTGTCCACCCAATAGTGTTCGTTTTAAATTAAGTTCTTTAGTCGAAATTGGTAGTGATCCGGAACCGTAAACTAAAAGATCTGTAGTTGTTGCACGAGGAGTTAAGAGAGAAGCCAAAGACATTTTCTTGGTCTAAAACAGAAAATCGTATTACGTTAGAAAAAAAGAAAGATGTAGAATAACTTAAATTCGTACTATTAAATGGTAACGTAAATTTTGAATGGATTTCGCAAAGTTTAACAATCTGATGTTCATTCAAGTATGATTGATTACAGGACAGGTACCATACGTAATTCTGAAGACGTTCGGCTTGTAATAATAATCTTAGAAATCCAAAAAATTGAAACAAGCTAATTTTTCAAAACAGTCATAGAGAATAGAACAATAATATGAGTAAAAAGACACTGTGAACTTCAGTGAAATCAAATGTGCTTTCATAATTAACGAAAAAGCTTTACCCAAGAAAAAGTCAAAAGAAATCAGTAGAAAGTTGAAAATTATTTAGCTTTAATCTCATAATACAACGAAAATTAAGAATTGAAGATTTACTTGGTATAATGCAGAGAGTCGACGGATAGAACGACTATGCGAGTACACACAAGTATAATATCAATCAGTGGCGTGGCCTGGACTTTTCGGCAAGGAGAGGGAACAGAACCAATAGAAAAATAGTTTTGCTTCACTAATTCTTTAGGCTGGCTCGAAGACGCGTCAGAACATTATCAGAACATATTTCAGATTATGTGGCGAGAAAACGTATGAGACAAAGCATTAAAACGGAGGACTGCTTCCCTAATAGAACAGCATTTGTTGAAATTAACTGGGGCTGAGCTTGTGTCTAGCTCGCAGTTCTGCCGTATTCTACCAAGATAATATTCAGATTCTTTCTTGACTTTAAGAAAACAATCTAGAAAAACTGATTGTGTGCTTGTGAAACAAGGAAAAATGGCGCACTGGTATTTCTTGGACCAAGCCAATAGAAAACAATACAAAGAGGGTACTATATTTCTAATGTCTGTTTGTTTTTCTTCATCAAAGAAGCTAAATAATGTAATTTTGGACAGAAGCTGTTTGAAAGGTTCAGAAAAAGGGAGTAGTTCATTATGGAAAATTCGATGGCATCTTGGATTTCTAGGAAAATTCAATTGTTTCTGCTCCATTTCTAATTTGATTACCCTATTCGATACTGAAACGCGAATAAACAGTCTTAGTCTCAGTCCGAAACGAGATTCTTACTAACAGCCATAGGGTTGTTAAATAGGTCTGTCTCAGAGAGACATTAACCATGTTTCACAGATCAGTGATTCCGATCAGGGGGGAGGGGCAGGAGCCAGCCCCTCCATGGAATTTCTGACTTTCCGTAAAAATTTTTGCCTTGACTTTCGAAAAATGTAGCAGCAGCATTAAAAACTATTTATTTCGATCTATCACTTCCCACAAGATATTTTTATAAGCTTTTCGCCATAATTATAGCTCTCCATGGCCAAAAAACCATTGAGGTCCCTGTTTTTGGCATCCTGTCCCATCATACAGTTTCATATCCTGTCCCATCTAAAACTCCAAACGATCTTATCTACTACCGCTGTGTTTTGTATTTAGGTAAGACTAAGACTGTTTTATTCACGAAAAGTGAGAGTCATCAAAGGTCAACGACCTGTAATAACAATGACTCGAGCCAAACATCACAAAAAGAGTAATAAAGAAGAAACAAAATAAACAAGACAACTAAGGTTAGAGCCAAAAGTAGTAAAAAAAGATGTTTTTGGTTTTTCAATCAGATTTACTGCGTGACTCCTATGGTTGTATAATTTTCAAATGGTTTTACTTAAAATAATATTGCACATTTCTTTAAGACTGACTACCACGAACAAGACTCCGTGTTAACAGAAAAGCGTTACTTGTATTTGATTGTTTATTAGAACATGGTCATGCTGAAACCGCACACTTTCTTATAAAAGAAAAGATTTCTACATTAGGAGGAGTATGAGAATTAATGTTATTTTAATTTGAGTGTTCGATAAAATTTTTGAATAAAACATGGCGCACGGATAGGAGAAAAAACCGTCCACTGAAGTCAAAGGGCGCTATAGTGCAATTTTATTTATATTTGTATCCATTGGCTTTTCTTTTCCCAATACAATTGGAGTATGTTCGGTCTTGATCATCCTCACTGACACGACTGCATGCCTGTTATCTTGCTCACTTAGCCTTGTTTGTTATTACCTGTGCGCAAACGCTATGATGAAGTAATTGTACAAGAAAAAGTTTGAGATTATAGCTAGAGGACATTTTCTCAGTGGCTTAGCTAATTTTTCAGAATTTTTGGAAGTGATGATGACAGAGGCGAAGTAGCTATTTTAGCCTAAGCGGCAATTGTAGTGCGGGTATTCCATTAAGAAATGAACTTTCGCGACATCCGATACATCGTTTTTAATATAAATTATATAGATATGGTAGTTTATCGTATGTCTCAATGATGAAAGAATCGACGAGAAAAAAAATTTTGACAACTGGAATTCACTGATTGATCGTTATTTATGAAGATCATCATTGCCAAATTATATCTAACTGCCTAAGCACTGTATTTACTATGTTAAGAATTGGAAGGCTGTTGTTTACACACTGAACCTTTATAAGAAGAAATCGCCTGATAATTTTGAGATATACATGAAAACGTAGACATTTTATGAGCTTAGCAGAAAACGAAGGTTGTTTGAGTAAAGCAATATATAGTCGATTAGCATTCTGAAAATGCAGAATGTATGAATGAATTATTTATTCACGAAAAGTGAGAGTCATCAAAAGTCCTCAGGCTATAATAACAATGACTCGAGCCAAACAACAACAAAAAGAAACTGTAAATAGAAATTAAAAATAAAAGGTGAACTAGTATATGAAACAGAGAGATAGATAAGAGTAATAGCACTGGGTTTGTTTTTAACCGTAAATATGGCTATGTTCTACTGTAAAGATACAGAGATAACGTTACTTTAAACGACAATAAAGAAGAAGAACGAATGACTGATTCTGGAAGATTATTCCAGTCAGTGGCAGTTGAATGAGAGGAGACAGGACTGTTTGAAAAAACTGTTTGCGAAATGAGAATGTACCATACTTTATTCTTAACAGTGTAGGAAGCAGAGACCTGCACCGATAAAGATAGGATAACTCGATCCCGATCCGACATTCAATTAATGCATTAATATTTCCTTATAAATCACAAAAATACATAATGAACAACGAGACAAGTTCATCCAAATGCCATTAAGAGGAAACGATACATCTAGGTGTTAATTTAGACCTCTCATGATGTCGCAAACAAACCGAAGAGATAAAAGCCGAATTGAATTCGTGATTTTGTGATGACTGTATACAGAGGATGATTCATGAAGAGAGTGATTAATAGCATCAAAAATTACAGCATTAGCTGAAACGCGACGTCTAGTGAACAACAAATTTTTCTATCAACTTTTTCATTGAACTACCCAGTTCGTAAACAGATTAAAGACTTTTTTTCATTAATTTTATTTTTGTTTTGACTTTTTACGCTTCGTCGGATACATACAAACAGTCGTATGGAAGTAGTTTAGGTTAGAAATAAAAGGATGATGATTTCTTGTGATTTTTGACTTGATTGTATTTGAATGCCCTTCTGAAGAAAAACAGAGTAAGAAAACAAGTTTTTTCCTTCTCCGCATTGCCCATGACATTTTACTGAGACGATCTGTGCAAATTCTGTACAGTATACACTTTACCATTAAATCAGTGTATACATGTGTATTTTATTTTAGATTCTCTCGGGGAGACTAATAAAGCAAAGTATTTGTCTCTTACTATGCGATTGATCTAATACTAATCTGTTTGAAGGAGATAGAAGTTCAACTTACAAGTTGTTTCATCTTTTGCGTTAAGTGGCCTTTTCAAATACAACCACAAATTCTTCTAAACCGTGTGTCCTCCAAAGATCTCCCTGAATATTTTATGTTTCTGCTCCTTCACATATATTTTTGATAGTCGGAAGAAGAATTAATTTTAGGCAGATTTTCGCAAATATTTTTTAACTTTTGTTTTGTTTAGATAATAATGGAAGGTTTACCAACTGAGTATGATGTCATTGTCATTGGCACGGGTAAGATAAAAAATGTTACTAAACAAATGGAACAAATTTTTAATGAATATTTTTAATTTTTTCAAAAGGTATGGTAGAAAGTATTTTGGCAGCAGCATTTGCACGTTGTGGAAAAAGTGTGTTACATCTTGATACGTAAGTAACTTTTGTTTTCATATTACAGTATGGCATATTCTATACATTTATAGAAATGAATATTATGGCTCAGAATGGACGTCGTTTACGTTGAATAATTTAGTCGAATGGTCCAAAATATGTCCGATAAAAGAGGTTTGTATTCATTCTTTTCTAATGATTTTACATTACTTTTTGGCTATTTTTTCTCTAGCCAAAAATAGCTTCAGTCAAACAACAAGAAAATGAAACCGTTTTATCTATTATTGATCCATCGTGTATATTTCGCAATATCAGTTTTACATGGAACATACCGTATGTTTATTTTCAAGATATTTTTATCTCTTATTCTAAGCTCATTCATTCATTATAGGCAAACAGTAACAACGAATACAGAAGAAGTTGCTGAAGAACCTAAAAAGTCTGTTGTCACAGCTGACGATTTACTTAAACAATCACGAAAATACAATATTGATCTTGCACCAAAAGTGAGTATATTACATTAGAATCTGTAAACATAAAGAGACGAATTATTATTGTTTCCTCTTTATTTTTTACCTGTAGTTATATTATTCAACTGGTGGAATTATTGATTTGTTAATACAGTCGAACGTTGGCAAATATTGTGAATTTAAACTTGTATCAAGACTATTGCGAGAAAAAAATGAACAGTTAGAAACTGTATGTTAAAAATAAAAAATTTTCTCCCCCACAAAATCGAATATATTTATCCATAGGTTCCATGTTCACGTGCCGATGTGTTTAATACGAATGAAATTAATCTTATGGAAAAACGTTTATTAATGAAAGTGTTGACATTATGTTTGAATTATGACAAGAAAAAAGATGAATTAAAAGGTATATAGAACGATATTGTTCTATTCTTCTATTATATCTTGAAGTTCTTACTATATTTCAACTAGTGTCTTTGTAATCAATCAAAGAGCTGAAAATTTTCTCATAAAAACCGTTTCTAGGCAGTCCAATATAGTATCTTCTTTTTCTTTATATTTTAGACGAATTAGAAACCCCATTTATTGATTTTTTAAAGAAGCAAAAATTAGATGATAATCTATCACGTTTAATCTTGACTTCGATAGCAATTGTTGATAATCAAGCAACAACGACAGAGGTATATTAATCTGTATGTATTTTCGTTAGTGTGTTCGATTTATTAGTGTCAACGTAACCTGCTTTTTACATCCTTTTTTAATTACCAGGGATTAGTTGGCGCTAAACGCTTTCTGAATTCTATTGGACGTTACGGAAATTCACCATTTTTGTATCCATTGTATGGAACTGGAGAAATGTCACAATGTTTTTGTCGGTAAGAACCAAGAAGAAACAATAATTTTTTCTAGTCCGCATTTTTTAATTATATTTTCAGTTTATGCGCTGTCTTTGGCGGTCATTATTACTTACGATTTCCATTGGCTGGAATCACGATAGATTCAGAAACGAATAGGTGAAATTATAGGCAAAAAAGACAATATATTGTAATAGTTGTAGTTATTTTGTCTTTAGTTGTACCGGTATTGTTACCGAATCATCCGATCACTATCGTTCAAAACATGTTATTTGTAACAAAGCGTTTTTAATGAATTATTTGGACAAATCAAATACGAAGTAAGTACAAAGTTTTGCACTAACAGTCCGGTTAGTTTCTTCTTGAACGAAAAAAATTCTGAATTGTCATAATTTTGCATAATTAGTTGAATTACCAACTATTATCTTTTATTTAGAGTTGTTAAACGAACTGTTTTATTCACCAATCGTTCTATAAAATCAAGTGTTAAAGAAGAGGTTTGGTTTTTATGCATTTTTATCCGTCGTACATACTCCTATTAACATCATACGTTTAGATTACATTTTTACGACTGAATAATTCAAATGAGCAGGGTATAACTGTTATTGAAGCTGGCAATACGTCTGGTTGTGCACCAGAAGATTTATGTAAGTAAAGAAATTAATTTTTTCTCTTGTTACATACTTAATGTCTATATCTTAATTTTAAGTTCTGTTATATATTTTCCAAGAACAACAATCAAATATTAGTCTTGATTCAGTTATTGAGAGACTGTTGAGTAAAACAAAAGGTATCAATTACGCGTACTTTTAAACAGCTAAAGATGTTTTCATTATTTAATTTATTCTACAGATGATTTTACTAGGGAAAATATTCTGGGACAATTTACTTACGATCAAATCGATACATACAACATGAATATGACAGAACAACAGGAAATACCAAATCTTTTTTTAACTCATGGTCCGGATGCAACAATCCATTTTGATCAAGTTATTGATACTGTACGTATAGGGTTGTATTTGTTAGAAAGACTAAGAAGTAATAAAATATAATAGAGCTCAGTCGCAACAAAAGTTATTATTTTTTTTACTGTGACTATAATCAGACAAAAAATGTCTTAGATATTTTTTTCGTTTAGGCAAAAAATATTTTCTCAATTGTGTGTCAAAATGGAGAAGAATTTTTACCACGCGCACCCGATCCAGATGACATAATAATCGAGAGTGAAAGTACAGAAAATAATTCTATAACTAAATTTGATGATGAATCGAAAAATGATGATACTAATGTAGTACAAGAACATTTGGATGAAACGATTATAAAAAATGAAACTCAAACAGATTCAACCTAAATGGAATGTCCTACGGTTAAAATGTACAGTTATTTTTCTGTTTTAAACGCAATTTTATTTTTTGGTGTTGTTATTTATTAACTCTTCTTTTTTAATACAGGATATTTGCTGTTTCTAGAAAATGTATTTGTTACGCATTTATGTTCGAACAATGTCCAATGTCCGTTTTTTGTATATGCCATAATGTTTTTTATCTTCTAAAACAGTATGCTGAATATTTATTCGTGTCCCCTTTTCCATCATTTTAGGCGCATCATAACAAAGAACTCTATTTTTGTTACACATGGAGATCAAGTTATTTCGGTAGCTCGGAATCACGATATTCTCACAGAAAACTAGAATTTTTCAAAATTTAGGCGTACTTGGTTTTTCCTTTAGATAAACGACACAATTATGTGATGTGAAATATAAAAGGCATAATCTCATATAAGTAATCTAGTGAAAAACAAAATGTTGTTGATAGAATTGATGCTGCTAATAATCACACACAAATGTAAGTAGTTTGTGTATTAAATATGTGGTTATGAGACATTGAAGTTTATCTAAACGTGGATTCGTTATCGCTGTCTCGTAATCAACGGACACAGATGAATAGTCAACTAACATCTCGAACAACGTGAACCAAATCAAATGACTATTTGTCACATTACGGCGTTATCAGTCATTTATTATCTGATAATCAGAACCAAGTAATTAACAACAATTGACAGAAAACATTGTCATTAAATCCGCTAATAGAAGATTTGATTCATACGCCGAAGATATTACTGACATGCACCAAAATGAAGTCATGAAATCGGTAAGCGCTACACAATCAGTTATCCATTTACACAATTATCTCACTCATTTTAATGTAGATTGATCCAGTACAATGTTATGAATTTATCAATAGAAGAATATCATGTTGACTGTTAAACAGCAATCTCTTTTGTTTAGATTTAATACAGTAGATTCTGAAACAGTAAAGATAGATAATAGCTTAGTGTCTAAAAAATGAAATGAAAAAAATGAATAGCAACAAAATAATATTTATGATAATCTATTAAAAATATCTGTTGTTCTTGCATTTTTTCTTTGTTACAAATAATTGTATTTACTTGATATTTGTACTTGCTTTTATAGTACGTTTTATAATACGAGACCCTTTCGATCGCCGAGAATAGTGAATAAACAAAATTCTATTTCTCTTATTTATGATAGATAAAATTTAACCAAATAGACTTCGAATAAAATATAACTAATTTGATAAAGAAATAATTATTGTGATCTTTTGTTGTTTAGTAGAAACGCTTTTCCATCGAATAATATTGTTCACCAGTATCATCATGTACAGTAATATTTCCTCATCTGGATGAAATCTTGTTATTTCAAGATAATTTTATATTTATTAAAAAATAGATATAAACGATAAACGTACTTTTCAACTACGGCCATTCGGCATGATGTTAACAGCCCGTTCAAACAGAGATCCGTCTTCATGTGTGTACACTTGTTGATAAAAATCACAATACAATGGTATGAACGAGAAAAATGTTACGTCAGTTAGCTTTAGACTAGCAATGAATTTCGGATGAATGTGACGTATGTTGTATCACATATCTTGTAAAGAAAAACAACCACTTTTTCTCGGTTGATTATTGAACTTCTTTTCTCTCCGTATGGACTAAAAGTTTTTGAGTTATGGAAATAGTATAAATTTTCCGTATGGAGTCCATACGGAGATCTGTTATATACTCAAAAAATAAAATTTTCTCATATTGCATGTATCACAATGTAGACATCCATCCATTCTATGAATATCAAATAAAAAGTTTAATCTTAAAGATTCAATCGTATATAAGATCGAGATTTTGAAAGGATACTGTGTCTTCAAAAAATCTTCTAGGAATAAGAATGTTTTACTATAAGATTTGGACCGAAAAAGAAATTATCAAGATCTTTTCAAACTCTTAAAATAAGAATTTCATACGTCCAGTACGCTTTTAGAGTGTCTGTCCGTTCTATTATAATTTTTTTTATAAGATTTCTTTTAACTATCACATCTGATTTTCATAATTTCTGTAAATTAGAGAAATTTCATGAAATTAGAGATGATGTTTAATATACGAGAACAAATACGACACAATTATATTATCAACATGTGGTTGTAGTGCATTCATAAATCCAATTGATTACATTTTCGAGTTGTCAATAAAGAATTTTAAAACTGTTTTTATTATATTATATTTACTATTTATATTCAAAACATACTTTAGATGAGAATATTTTATCGATTACCGATGATTTTTATCTTAATCTACTAAACCTAAATGGGTTAGTAAAAACAAGAACATTGAATATCATGTGAATATATCACTTTTTTCTTGTCGATTTTTAAAATTGAAATAATTTCACCCGTTATAAAATTCATCGTGTAACAGGACAATCTTCTTCAATAAATGTCATCTTGTATACCGCCACCTACATTTATTTTATATGAGACAATAATATGTTATTGACTTCTAAAGTTAGGTAAGATTAAGTTGAAGAATGAGTGGTACTCAATATCCAGAAAGAAGAAAATGTTTCATGATTGATAACCATCACGTCTTCACCTGTACATATACTTCAAGATTTTTCTTGCCAAATATAGAAAAAAGAAACATTGGCATGGAAGAAGAAAAAGATTGATATGTCATAATACAGCGAACATCCTGTATATGAGAAAAACAACTGTGCAAATCGTTTTTTAAGAACTGTAATGTTAATATACGTCTGGTATGAGAGAAAGCCCACCATTTCGTATGATTATAATCATTTGTGTAGCTGCAGAGAAAGAGAGAAAGAGAGAGAAGAAAATGATGGCAGGTAAAATATACACGAGAAAAGTTGGAATACAAGTAGGAATCAATCAAATTCTATAATCTGAAATGACTATTAAGTTAATTTCACGGAAAATAAAACAATGTTTGATATTCTACGGAAGATATTTATAAATTATATAGTATTTTAGATGAATTAAAAAAAAGAGCAATGGGTTCGAATCAAACTGTACTATTGGAACAAGATATTGTTCGAGATATATGTGAAGAAACAGGTATGTATAATGCAGACTATATTTTGTTTCATCGATAAATCACTCTCGCACCGCTTCTCCCGCCTTTGAAATTCTTTGAAGTGTCTAATTTGTCGACGAAACGAGAATATCCCGTATAATACTTATATTTTTAAAATTTAAATCATAATTTCTGACATTTTATAATTGTCTTCTTTGGCTTAGAGGAGTGTTTCTTTGGTATTTTTTTGTTTATAGGTTTTACATCCAAACAAGTTCAACGACTTTATGGACGTTTTAAAGCATTAGAAAAACAAGGAGTCGATGGTTATTTAACGCGAGAAAGTTTAATGTCCATTCCGGAAGTTAGTATTAATCCACTTGGAGAACGATTAGTTGATGTTATCATACAAGATCATGGTATACCTATATAAAAGATTGAATTACACTTGATTTTTCTTTTTTTTCTCTTGTTTATTTATACATTTAGGCGAAGCAAATAAAATTGATTTTCAACAATTTGTTAGAATGTTGGCAAGATTTCGACGTGGTAAAGCCAATACACAATATAATACAAAAGAGAAAAAATTAAGATTTTTATTTAGTGTAAGAAAGAAATTAGAAGAATTTATTTTATTAAATAAAATTTTGTTTTTATTATCTAGATGTATGATCGAAATCATGACAGTAAGATTGATCGAAATGAATTACTTGAAATATTGAAAATGATGGTATTTGTATATGTTTAATTTGTTGTTTTTTTGAATTTAATTAATTTGATGAGAATGAATATTTATACACTTTTTTTTTATAGGTTGGTGGAAATATTCATGATGAACAAATTGCAACAATAGCTGATCATACAATCGGAGAATTGGTAAGCTATTTTAACATGTCAATTTGAATTTTTGATATTTTTTCTTTTATTATTTTTTCTTCTTCTATCGAACAGGATAGTGATGGCGATTTATCAATTACATTCGAAGAATTTTGTGAAACATTACAACGAATTGATGTAGATGAAAAAATGTCGATGAAATTTTTAAGTTAAAAATAGAGAATAAGTAATTTATTGTTTCTTCCGATGAATGGTTTATGTATACATAGACTCTTTATGTATAACTTCCGATTAAGAATAAATAATTATGTTGATTTTTCGTTGTAAATATGAAATTAGACTAATTTTTTTATTACCAGTGATAATAATTTTACTGTGGGAAATTTTTTTTACGTTTTTTCTTTTGTTTTTTGTAATACATATTTTTTATTTTATTTATTTTCAGTTATTTTTATTTAACTAGAGTAACATTGTGAATATACTCTGCCGATTATTATGGTATCCGGTTGATTAAAAATGTAATTTGTAAAAGCTTGTTAAAAATATTCACTAATAGTATAATGTTTTTCCTGTTAAATAAAACTAGTAAATAAAATTTGTTGTTTCAAATATATTATTGTTAAATGTTTAATGTTTATAATATTCTTATCAGTATGAAAAAAAACATAAGAAAAATGCCGTCAATATTGACTAATAATCAAAGAACACTTTGACATTTGTGTCAATAAATCAGAAGTCGAACAACAATTTGTAATGATATTTTGTTGACTTTACAAAAAATATTGTCTACAGTTTATTGACAAAATATATCAGACGTTTAATATTTTTTGATCATAGATTGATAAACAATTATTTCATGGTTATACCATGTACAAGATAAGGTTTGAATTAAATTAGATGGTTCGATTTATGATGAATTTTGAAAGTAAGAGACCTATCAATTTTCTTACAGAATCCTAGACATATCCTACCAATTTTCTACTAAGATTTCATTAGGGTTTTTAGAATCATATTAAAATTCGATAGAATCGTAATGAAATCAGATATACTCAAGATTCGTAAGAAATAAATCTAAACAAAATGTTAGTAGAATTCTAATATGTAAGTTCTTGTGAGAGAGTTGTTAAAAAGTTCTGAATGTCATGATCTTAGAAGAAAATCGACAGGATGTTTTTCGAACAACTTTGTTTCCATAAAGTTTGTAAATATTATTTTTTGGTAATCATCTTGTGTTAATTAATTAAATTTCTTGTGAACTTTCTGATTCTTTTGATTAAATTCTTCTTCTACCTGTTTTTTCTTGTAATTTATTTGTTTTATTAAATAATTTGGTGATCAAAAGTATTATTATTAGTGATCATTTCGATAGAATAAAATTTAGTGATCAAAACTAACATTTTTGGTGATCTATAAAAATCCATACCCTAGTTTGTGCAATAGACTAGAATTTTTTCATTGATGAATTCTCCTCTTAACTGATAAATAAAAAGTTACATTAGTGTTCTGCATAATGACGTCGTCAACGCTTTCGAACACAGCGTTTGAAATGATCAAGCTTGTCATGCTCGGCGTTTAAAATAGAGTGAGAAAGGTTTTCAATATTGTAAGAATTGAATGCTCTTATTCTTAATCTAGAACAATATTTAACAAAATAAGACTGTCTCATGTACAAAAAGATGAAAATTTGCACAGTTCATGGATGTGTCATATTAGCGCACACATTTTAAGTCAAAATTTGAGAAACTAAATTTTTAGTCGATAAAATGAGTCTCTTATAACAATAGCTCGACTTTTTCGCATAGTAAGTTTGTTTTACATAAAAATTTTATTAACACTTTTTGATTTTATTGTATAAAAACTTCGAGAATAGGTCTTGTAACACGAAAGTAAGAACCACTTACAACCAACTGTGGTTTATCCTCACATCAGTCATTATGGTATGTTTTTGGTATGGCCAATCGTTTAATTGCTTCTGCGTGTTGTTCTTGTTTGCTAACTAGAAATAAAAACAACATTTGAATCTATCAGAAGGGGGTAGCAAGTTATTGTTAGGTTGTCAAGTTGAAAACTTAGTGTTGGCGAGTTACTGTTTCTCTTGTAATGGTAACTGGTTACAAAAACAATTAATCTAACAATTTTCTTCTTCTTCTTGAAGCTGCAGACATCCCGATTCATCCACACCAATCATGAGTGCAAATATAGTTGGTCTCGTTTCTATCGATTCGAGGATGATGTAGTCGGTCTCGATGAAAGAATCAACTACACTATCCTATGTTCGATGTTCAGATATTATTTGAACAGTTCTGAATCATAGAACTCGAGCGAATCTTGCAGACAAGAAGTTTTCTCAAGACGCGGTTTTGTGGAAAGAAAAATTTTCTCAAGTATTGGCAAAAGTTGGCTGACAAGTTATTCGATAGAAGGAATAATAACGAAGATGGATCATACGCTCCACTTCAAACATCAGTTCCTACTGCAAAATTTTCGAGAGCCAACAAAATGTTGAAAACATGCATAATTTGAAGATATTTTAAAAGTCAAATGTTGAAGAATTTTTGTAAAAAATGGCATCATCAGCCATGGACTTCTAATATGGATTTTAAAGAAATGTCTCACGGATGGCCTTCTATTCTGGGGAGGCGTTTAGTCACTATCGTTACTTTCGCAGTTAGTCTTGAGCTCCTTCTGAGTCCCTTTCCCCTTGCTTTTAAGGGTAATTCATGGGGAACACAAAGGCAACTGAAAAATAATGATAACTATGACACTCCTATGTCGTAATAGAGAACTATACTTTAACTTACTAATTGGAATCTCTGGAAAATGTTCATTTGCACTTTGTAAAATTTTCAAATTTTTCCTTTTTAAGGCTTTTTTCATATTTTCGTGTTTGTTTCGTTCTATTCGTTCTTGTAGTTTTTGTTTATTGAGAATTTTATTAAGATCCTTATAAGTCAGTTCTTCGACTATATGCTCCGTAAATCGTCTCGTTACATCGCGTATTTCGTAACTTTTTAATTGAACACCAGTTTTCTAAAAGAAAATAACTATATTGTTAATTTACATTCATTTAACATAATACTAACAAGATGTACAAATTACCATTATATTAGTTGGTATATTTTCATTGTCAATTTTATTTTGTTTTGGTTTATCCATAATTCGAAAATATTCTATTGTTCGCCAATTTCGATTATCAATATGATTAATGATTTTTCGAAGTGAATCGGGTTTTAGTGTGGGATTGCCTGTTCCATAAGTATCGTGTACGTCAACTTCAAAATCATATTTCAGTACGAATCGTCGACGCATGGCTATTTTTTCTGCCAGTCGAACAGTTTGAGAATAGACGTTGAGACCCTGTAAATACATTTCTTAAAAAAATTTACAAATTTTTTCACAAAACTATCTTACAGATAAATTTAACAAAGATAGTGTACATTCTTTTGAGTTTACAGCCCGAATAATGGAATGAACACCATGTGTCGTCAATGGATTAAAAGCAAGCTAAAATACTCAAAATAACAACAGTATAGATATTTTTAATGTATATATTAGCTAGTTGTATACCAGTAAGGTTTCTAATGTTGAATTTTTAGCTAAACCTTGAGCAATAAGTTTAGCCCCTTTCCATTCAATATTATTATTAGTTATATCTATACGTGTTATTGTCCCATTAATTCTAAAAATTCGTCGAAGAGCCACACATCCATCGTAACCGAGACCATTCCATGATAAATTAAGATCTTTTACACCGGTATTAACCTCAAGATAAAATATCTTAACACCAGTATTAGAAATACACTTTCAACTTACTTCAAATGCTCGTAGTAATGCTACAGAACCTTTGCCTCTAATTTTATTCCAGCTTAGATTCAGTTTCGTAAGATTATAGTTGGTAGCTAAAGAAATTGTGTGTAAATACACAGAAAGCCACATCATTCGAATCAATACATACTAAGCGATGTTCCAATATCGATAAGGGCTTTCTCTTCTAAGTCATTTCCACTTAAATTAAGAACTGAGAGCTTTTTATGCTAAAGAAAAAATGAATATTTAACGAGTTATCCATAGCCTCTGTCGACGAACATACGTTGCAAATTTCTCCAAGATACGTTCCAACTCGATCGGTGATCCCACATCCTATTAGAGTTCATATAGAAATAGACAATAATGTCAATATTAATAGTACTTAAGGGCAACCATTTTTGAATCAATGTAATAATTGATGCAGCTATATGTAATTTCGTTGTTTATTTAAATAATTATTTAAATAAACAACGAAATTACATATAGCTGCATCAGTTTTACATTGAGACAATAATATATTACACATTGACTTTTCTTTTGGTGCTAATAGCTTTATTAAGACGAAGGATTCTGACGGCAAAACAGCTGTTAAGGACAGATTCGCTAGATTTTCTCATTTTTTTACAAACTACTATCCATTTCAAAAAAGAAGAAGCACGGCCATTTCTTTGATAACTTTTTCTAAGAAGCAGCTAAAAAGGTGCGGTTTTCAGTATCGGAAAGCGAAATGTTGGGGTAATATGAAAAACTAAA